CAGTCATAAAAAAAAAAGTTTTTCTTTTTGCACTTATTGAAAAAAATATCATGTAATTGAAAGTACAACTAAATTTTACAGTTAGCTGACGAAGTAGGCGTCAGATCGTAACAAATTATTCGATATAATAGGAAAATCTGGTATAGGCCGTATAGTACACCGAAACATAAACCATTTTACCTTCATTATAAAGAAAATTCTTATAAAAAAGTTTATACTACATACATAGTTTATTTTGTAGATTTATTAATACATCAAATTCGTTATAAGAAGGTCGACTTCAAAGTAAATGTTTAAAATTTTATTTATTTATTTATTTATTTGATGAATATTTGCTGATATTTTTAAGATATCATGTAATCATTATAATCAATTTGTGCAATTATTGTTTTTCTGATTGAACTACATAGATGAAATAAAAAGCTGTTTAAATAATATTTCATAAAAAAAAGAGTAATACAGTAATAAAATCAAGCCTTAATAATATTCTAAGAGAGTAAATTATAAAAATAACGAAATATAATATTGATACAAATTATCAACATGGTTAGTGTCATAAATCTGCTAGAAATGATAATAAGGCTACATTACTATTAAATTAGGACATTAGGCAAAAATGGAATTAGGGAACCTGGATTTTACAATCAATTGGCCAATCAGGGATTTAATAATGCTTAATACGAATTCGAATACTTGAATTTGAATGGCGGAGAAAATATAGCTGCAGGAACTAATAGAATGCGGCATTTTTATGATATACGGATGAGGAGCGGAAAAAGTAATTTAGACAATGCGATTCATTAGTATATTAACTGAAAATAATAGAAAATGGATTCAGTTTTAAGATATTATTTCAAAGAATGACTATAATTCTTAAATACTACAAAAGTAGAGTAAATTAGTAATAGCACTACTTTTTTGGTTTAAATTTTATTAGAATTAAGGTTGGAAACGGTCAGTTATGGTCAAACGGTCGACCAGGCGGACGGTCAGGCGGACGGTCGGTCAGACGACCGATATCAGTCACGGTTATGACCGTGACCGTTTCCATCCCTAATTAGAATGTAAAAACTCCTCATTTTACTTCTTTATTTTATCTTTTAACAAATTTTAACGGGTCAAGGCAAGGATATAAAGATACTGTCTTAAACAACGGGCATAAGTAACTGAATTTTTATAATTTCCAACTACTAAAATGTCGAAACAAAATTATTTTAAAAGAATATACAGTAATTTAATTTCGAATATTTAGTTATGAGTAATTATAAATTGATTTAATATTAGAAAAATAATACAAAAGCAAATGTATTTTTCGGAGTTTAATCATAGCTAATATCGTTTTTTATTAGTTAATACAAAATGGCGTAATAACCAAAATGATACTGATATTACATAAAGTATTTGATGTTAAGATAATTTATATACATTACAAAAAAAAAATAGGTTAAATAAAATGAAAATTAATCAATTAATCTCAGTCTTGTTAAGCTTTTAAAATAAATAAAGTATTTTGGAATCATACTAGCTTCAGTTAATTATTTAGTAATAAGTACTAAGTTCAAACCTTTTTCGGCTCTTGGTATCTATTTTCTACAGCTTTTTTGTACCAATAAATGGCTTTCTCAGTATTTTTTACAGTTCCTTCCCCTCGTTCATATAATGATGCAAGACTATTTTGTGCATCTATATTTCCTCCTTCTGCAGCAATTTTGTAGTAATTAAATGCATTTTCTTTGTTAATATCAATCTGAGTTCCATAATTATAAATATGTCCAACTTTATATTGAGCATCTATATATCCTTGATCAGCTGATATCTTATAAAATTCAAATGCCCGTATTTCATTTTTACCAACCCCTTTACCTAATTCATAAAATTCACCTAATTTATATAATGCAAGTTTATTTTCATTTTCTGCAGCTTTATGATACCAATAATTAACTTTGTCTAAATCATTTACTATTTCTTCATCATTTTCAATAAGATTAATTTGGATATTACTGCCGGCTGCCTCATTATATAATTCAAATCCTTTTTCTTTATTAATTTCAGTTCCAATTCCATTTATGTGATAAAATCCAAGTATAAGTTTTGCACCAATATATCCATTCTCGGACGATTTCTCATAAAATTCAAATGCTTTAATTTCATCTTTATTTACACCAATCCCTAATTCATAACATTCTCCTAAATTATACTGTGCAACTTCATCACCATTTTCTGCTGCTTTTTTGTACCAGTTAAGAGCTTTTTCAAAATCCCTTTCAATTCCAATTCCTTCATCATAGTAATATGCAAGTTTAATTTGAGCATTTAAATAATCTTTTTCAACTAAATCTTTTATTAATTCAAATGCTTTCTTTTCATCTTTGTCAACTCCTTCTCCATATTGATATAAAATAGCTAAATTAAATTGTGAATTATCATCTCCTTTTTCAGCTGCTATGTTATATAATTCAAATGCTTTTGATTTATTAATTTCTGTCCCAATTCCTTTATTATAATAATATCCAAGTTGATATTGAGCATTTAAATCATTATTTTCTGCTAAATCTTTTATCAGTTCAAATGCTTTTCTTTCATTCTTATCAACTCCTTCTCCTAATTGATATAGTACAGCCAAATTAAATTGTGCATTAGTATTTCCTTTATCTGTTGCTACTATATATAATTCAAATGCTTTTGATTTATTAACTTCAGTTCCAATTCCTTTTTCATAATAATATCCAAGTTGATATTGAGCACCTAAATCATCTTTTTCTGCTAAGTCTTCTATTAATTCAAATGCCTTTTTCTCATCTTTATCATCAACTCCTTCTCCTAACTGATATAATACAGCTAAATTAAATTGTGCACTAATATTTCCTTTATCTGTAGCTGCTTTATACAATTCAATTGCTTTTGATTTATTAATTTCAGTACCAAAGCCTTTATCATAATAATATCCAAGCAGAAATTGTGAATTTATATCGCTTTTTTCTGCTAAATCTTTTATTAATTCAAATGCCTTTTTCTCATCTTTATTAACCCCTTCTCCTGATTCATAGCATTTACTTAAATTATATTGTGCAACAACATCTCCTTTTTCAGCTGCTAATTTATATAATTTAAATGCTTTTGATTTATTAATTTCAGTTCCAATTCCTTTATCATAATAATATCCAAGCTGTGATTGAGCATTTAAATCACCTTTTTCAGCTAAATCTTTTATTAATTCAAATGCCTTTTTCTCATCTTTATTAACCCCTTCTCCTGATTCATAGCATTTACTTAAATTATATTGTGCAACAACATCTCCTTTTTCAGCTGCTAATTTATATAATTTAAATGCTTTTGATTTATTAATTTCAGTTCCAATTCCTTTATCATAATAATATCCAAGCTGTGATTGAGCATTTAAATCACCTTTTTCAGCTAAATCTTTTATTAATTCAAATGCTTTTTCCTTATTTTTATTGATGCCTTTTCCAGATCGATATAATAGAGCTAAATTATATTGTGCCCTAATACTTCCTTTTTCAGCTGCTGTATTAAATAATTTAAATGCTTTCAATTTGTTAATTTCAGTTCCAATTCCTTTATTATAATAATATCCAAGTTGATATTGAGCATTTAAATCACCTTTATCGGCTAATTCCTTTATTAATTCAAATGCCTTTTCCTCATCTTTATCAACTCCTTCTCCAGATTGATATAACAAAGCTAAATTAAATTGTGCACTAATATTTCCTTTATCTGCAGTTGCTTTATACAATTCAAATGCTTTTGATTGATTAATTTCAGTTCCAATTCCTTTATCATAATAATATCCAAGCTGAAATTGAGAATCTATATCATCCTTATCAGCTAAATCTTTAATTAATTCAAATGCTTTTTTCTCATCTTTATCAACTCCTTCTCCAGATTGATATAACAAGGCTAAATTAAATTTTGCACTAATATTTCCTTTATCTGCAGCTGTTTTATACAATTCAAATGCTTTTGATTTATTAATTTCAGTTCCAATTCCATTTGAATAATAACATCCAAGCTTGAATTTAGCATTTATATTATCATTTTCTGCTAAATCTTTAATTAATTCAAATGCTTTTTTCTTATTTCTATAAACTCCTTTTCCGAGTTGATAACATTTTGCAAGATTAAATTTTGCCCTTGTATTTCCTTTTATAGCTGCTTTCTTATACCAGTGTACTGACTCTATAGTATTTTTTGTGATTCCGATACCAAATTCATAACAATTTCCTAAATAAAATTGTCCAATAATATTACCATTTCTTGCAGATTTTTGAAACCAACTAAATGCTAAATTTTTATTACATTCAACTCCATATCCGTCGTCATAACATTTCCCAAGATAAGCTTGCGCAAATGAATAATCATTATTAGATGCTTTTGAAAATATTTCAAATGCTTTGAAACTACTTTTTTCTGTGCCAATATTATAATAATAAAATAATCCAAGTAAATAAATATATTTTGGATTAACTTGATTAGATAGCCATTTAATGAGATTGTCCAAGCTTTGATTTAATTCTAATATTTGTTGGTTGATAAATTGCTTAATATCTTGAGAATTAATACCTTCCATATCATGCTTGCTGTTTATTTTTTTAATTAACTTTTCAACAATTAGTATATTATTTACCTTATCAGATGTTGACCCGTTTGACGAATTTTTTTGAATTGATGTATATGATGAATTATTTTCAGCACCCATTATATTTATTTTTAATTCAGTATTTGGTAACAATTCATTAATTAATTCCATGGTCTCAATTGATTTTGAAGATGTTTCACATTTTACTATTAGTTGATTATCTCCTTTTCTCCTATCAACAGTACCAGTAATTATATTATCTTGTTTAAGAGATATTAGTGTATAAAGGATTGAAACGATATTTTGCACATTTGGACGCTTATCTGGATCATATGTCCAACATTCTAGTTATTTTAAACATTGTTAAACTTTCTTTCAAGAAATTAATAAATTTATAAAATTATCAATACAAATTACCTGTATACAAATTACTATATTCTTTAGGAGTGTTGTCAATAATTGCTTCTCGTTTGCCATTTATTATGGATAAGATTAAACTTGCATCATAATCACAATCAGAAAATGGCTGGCAGCCACTTGAAATTTGCCACATTAAAACTCCGATGCTGTATATATCAGATTTTTTGTTTAATTTGTAACAACGATTATTTAATTTTTTTGGATCAACAAAAGGTATTACGCCAAGTATTTTTGATGTATTGCTTGATACTTCAGCAATTTTTTTTGATAAACCAAAATCTGCTAGTTTTAGCTTTTTCTGATGTACAAGTACATTATCTGCATGCTATTATTATAAAGAAAACTTTTTAATACGAGTATGATAAAATAATCAAATAGAAAATTACAAAGCTAGTACTAGTAATCAATTATTACCAGATCACGATGAATAATACCATAATCATGTAAACATTCTACTGCATTGGCTAGTTGTAATACTAGCTGATATTTATCGGTCCAGGTGAGTTCATTAATGTGCTCATTTAAATAAGTTTTTAGTGTACCATTATCAGCGTATTCTAAGACTAACGAATATTTTTCTAGATACAAAGAGTACATTAAAAATGGAACTCATCCAATAATGTAATATATACCAAGACTTAAACTTACCATCTACTTTCGTTATTCCATAAAACCGTATAATATTTTCATGAAAATCAACTTTTTTTTGCAATCTTATCTATAAAAAAAAAATAATAATATAATTAGTATGTAAAAATTACTAGTATAGGGATAGATAATCGAGATTATTTACCTCATTAACAAATACTTTTAGCGTCGTGTTACTATTGTCCTTGATGATTTTTAAAGCGAAAAAATTTTCAGCTTTTTTCCAATTAGCACGAACGACACTTCCAAACGAACCACTTCCTATCGGTTCTAAATTTTTAAATTCTGAATATTCATGATAATTGAGATATTCATTTGCAATTGATTTTTCTAACCAATCAATATAAAATTTTGATTTTTTAAGGCCAGTTCCTTTCGTTTTATTTGACATTCTTGACAATAAATTATTTTTTAATTTTAACAATAGTGGAAATCTTTTATACAACCACCTTGTATTTAAATCGTGATTAAAATGGACCTCATTTCATAACCTTATGTACCTTTTATGGTATCATTCTGACGTCAGTAGCTATCGTGTAACTTGATAGATTCACCCCATAACAATTTTTTAATACCCCAAGAGATCGACACTCATTATTACTATTAACTCCGCATCTCTTCAGGGCCAGAATTATGTATTACCGTCTGTCATTATCCAATATCCAAAAAAGGAAGGAGCTACACATTATTTGGTTCATTATACGCAGACTTTGTATTGTTACCTTTTTGGGGTCCTAATCATATATCCATATGTTTAAGAAATAAAGATGACATGGTATTATAAATTTTATGATTCGTTGGCATGAATCGCTCGAATAGTTTACATCTCATACTTTATAATAAATATACTTTAATGAGGATATTAAATTTATAATAATTCTTCGAAATACTTATTGATACTTTGAGAAAGTATATTCAACCTCATAAAAATGTGACATACTATAATTCATAAACTCTCAATAGTTGTGTATATATATCGGATGATACGTATATCATTTACATCAATAAAGAATATTACGTAAAATCAATTGGACTTTTGACAGTTGAATTTTTAACACTTGAAGAAGATGATGATAACTTCGAAATTAATTTTAATATATATTATGTGAACATACTGATACCTATATATTGATTAAATATACATAAAAATGTATTTTAATTTGTACGTTCCGAAGTCCGAACTAAATAAAGGAATGTTTAAGGAATAAAGATTTAAAATTACTTTATTTATACCGTACTTTAATTGTGTAATTCTAATTTATTCTGTTAATGATGAATGATCTTTAGATTATTCTATTTCTGTCTACAAAGTCCAACCACAATCTTCAATAAAGAATGAGAATAAATGAATAAAGATACTCTAGATATTCTTGTCGAAGTAAATACGTATTCCATAAAAAGTTCAAAAGAGTATTATTAGTAAGTTTAATAAACTTAGGCTAATGTTTTTTGACGCATGATTTATGAATAAAGCTCAAAGATATTTTTTTTTTCGTTGTAATTTAAGATTTTCACAATGTCAAAAAAATAACCCTCAAATTCTTTCTAAATTTGTAAAACGAAACTTTAGTAAATTTTCAACATTGACGTTGAAAACTTTTACAACTTTTTTTATTGTGGTTTATATTTTTACACAACTTTTTGAGGCGTCCTCTACGACGTTTACCTATTTCCATGATCTCTGTTTACTATTTACGTCATAAACAAAGTTCTGTGCACGTCGGTTTTGTGGGCGTGGTTTTTGTCGATCACCATATAAGGAACGTGTGACATTTAATTGTCACCTGAACTCGTGGAGAATTTTTTCAGTGTCAAAAATTTATTTGTCATCCCTGTGACACAAAAGACAAAACTTGTGTGCAAGTTCTGTGTAGTATTGTGTAACTGTGCCCCTGAGTGCATCAATCATTTGTGAATCAAACACAACCAGACAAAATTGGGTAATTCCGAAGTAAATATTTATTGTGCTACGTAATTAGCATCAAATTCTTTTTCGCTGAAAAAAAAGAAAAAAAAGAAAAAAAATTCAATAAAATGTCTTCAAATAATATTATAAAAGATGAAGAAATTTTTTTAAAAGAATTCTTAAAAGATTTTTATCGTAAAATTATAAGAATCGATCATCACTCAAGATTTGAAAATATTTTAATAGATTGGATTCAAGATTATTTTAATGATAATAACAAAAATTCTGAAATGATTTTAAAATTAATGGAAAATCATAAAGAAAGTGAAAATTGGTTTTCAAGTTTAATAGGATTTTTTTATGAACATGATATAAGTATAAATGATAATAACACAAATATTAATAATAAAAATGATTTTATAAAATTTTATTTATTATCAATTAAAAATTATGAGAATAAAAAATTAACTTGTATTTATCAATTATTAAATCTTATTATATCAAATATTTATTATCAATTTATTATTATGAAGATATTATTTTTGATAAAAGAAATTTAATATCAAAAAGTTTTGAGAGTGCGAATGTAATGTCACTTAATCAATTTGAATATTTTAATGGTTTATTAGAAATAAATTTACGTAAGGATGAGTTAAGTACTATAGAAAAATATTTTGAATCATTAAATAATGATTCTAATAAAATAAATTATATTAAAAGGAAAGAATTAGAAAAATTAAATGATTTAGATTATTGTTATCAATATGGATTGGGAAAAAAGAAAGATGAATTTAAAGCATTTGAATTTTACTTAAAATCTGCGAAAGAGGGAAATTCTAGCGCAAAAAATAATTTAGGTTATTGTTATCAATTTGGAATAGGAACAGAAAAGGATGAAAAGAAAGCTTTTGAATGGTATTTAAAAGCTGCTAATGAAGAAGATTTATATGCACAATATAATTTGGGTATTTGTTGTTTAAATGGAATAGGAATCAATAAAGATGATGAGAAAGCTCTTGAATATTTCATTAAATCTGCCAAAGGAGGATATTCTTCTGCACAAAATATATTGGGAGATTATTATCAAAATGAAACCGAAGCAAAAGATTTTAAAAAGGCTATTTACTGGTATAATGAGGCAGCAGAAAATGGAAATAAATTTGCGCAATGCAATTTAGGTAATTTTTATAAAAATGGAGAAGGCGTGGAAGAAGATGAAAAAAAAGCTTTTATATTTTATAAAAGGTCAGCCAATCAAGAATATTTAGACGCTCAATTTGAACTTGGAAATTGTTATGAAAAAGGAATTGGGACCGATTCTAATAGAACAAAAGCATTTGAATTATATAAAAAAGCTGCTGATAAAGGACATGAAATTGCACAATATAATCTTGGAATTTTTTATAAATATGGTATAGGCGTTAAGAAAGATGAAGTAAAGTCTTTTGAATACTATGAAAAATCTGCAAATCAAGAATATCTAAATGCTCAATACGAACTTGGAAATTATTATTACAAAGGAATTGGAACTAAAGTTAATAAAACAAAAGCATTTGAAACATATGAAAAAGCAGCTAATAAAGGACATAAAGTGGCACAATATTACCTCGGATTTTTATATCAAAATGGTGATGGTACCGAGAAGAACGAAAGAAAAGCATTTGAATATGTTGAAAAATCAGCCAATCAAGGATTTTTATATGCTAAAAGTCAACTCGGTAATTATTATTCTAATGGAATTGGAACTGAAGTTAATAAAGCAAAAGCATTCCAGTTATATACAATAGCTGCTGTGGGAAAACATAATTATGCACGAAATAGCTTAGCAATTATGTTTGAAAATGGTGAAGGAACTGAAAAAGATTTAGAAAAAGCCTTTTTTTGGTTTCATAAAGCAGCAGAAGATGATTGCCGTATAGCACAATGTAATGTAGGTGAATATTATGAATTAGGAAATTTTGTGGATAAAGATGAAGTAAAAGCATTTGAATTTTATGAAAAATCAGCCAAAACTGGACATATAAGTGCAATCTTCCAACTTGGATATTGCTATGTAAATGGCATTGGTACTGAAATTAACAGAGAAAAAGGATTTGAAACGTACAATAAGGCAGCTGAAGATGTTAATGTACATAATTATTTTGGTAAAAACGATAAAGAAACAATAAATAATTTAAATCAAATTATTTATTGGTATTATAAGGCTGCAGAAAATGATAATAATTTTGCATTATATAAATTAGGTGAATGTTATGAATTGGGCAAAGGTGTTTGGAAAAATAGAGTTAGGGCATTTGAGTTTTATAAAAAATCAGCTAGTCAAGGATTTATTTATGCTCAATATAAATTAGGGCATTGTTATGAGAAAGGATTTGGGACTGATATGAATAAAGTGAAGGCATTTGAATTTTATAAAATAGCTGCGACAGGAGGAAATGTTGATGCGCAAAGAAGTCTTGCATATTTATATGAACATGGTGAAGGGACTGATAAAAATGTAGAAAATGCTATTTATTGGTATGAGAAAGCTATAGAAAATGGATATTTAGATGTTAAGGAAAATCTAGATATTCTTTTGAAGCAACAAAATAATTGATAAGAACTTAAATTTCTACATTATGTTTAAATCAATTATATTGCATTTATATATATTTATATATTATATGAAATTCCAATTTCTTCCACGAATTACTTATTAATTAGTCTGTTATAAATTTTATAAATAAATATTTTATTTATTTTTGATATAAGCGTTGAGATGTTGTATCAACCTAATTATGGGATTTTAAATTTACCATACATTCATTATATGTGGTCCGTATTTCGTAAAATAATTACTTTATGTCTTAGGAACTAACATCGTACTTGGCTATTGATAAACTTTTTTGCTGACTGTCTATGATCCTTTTAACGATTACAAGGACCCGTTGTATTATAAATTTTTTATGATAAATTAACTCAACGAATATATAATTATAAAGTATAAATAGAGAAAAGAAAAATTTAAATGTATAAATATCCGCTAATTATAAAGTGAAATAAATCTATTTATAAATACTATCTGAATATACAGTAAAAAAAAAGCCTTTCTTACTAAAATATATTATCGTTTAGCTTTTTTAATGTTAATATTGAGTTTATATATAAAAGTTTAAAAAAGTTATACATGAAAGCTATCAATTGTTATACAAATTTTAATAATTTGTACGGAAAGTCATTTTTCACCACATGGAAAAACTTTGTGTTTATTAAAAATTTTCTTTTTTGCATTTGTTCTCTTTAAATGGTTCACAAGTTATCCACTTTAGCGCTTCGCGATTTACAAAGGATCACGACATTATCAGTTACCCAAAACAAATTTCGATAAAAGTTCAAAATAAAGCACTGTTATTGTATTAAAGATTTATTAGAAAACACATACAAATATTATTAAAAGCTAAATTTTATTACTTGTGCCACCTTATCTTTAAATAAATCATTAACTTTTACTAATTCTGTACGGAATGAAAACTTGGATTAAAAAAAAATAAAAAAAAATCAATCATAAAAAAATTCTCTAATCAACGAATTTGTACTTGAAACATTTGTTATAATTAATAAACATTAATAAAAAAAATATATATAGACATAACTTAACTGATCAGATAAAGATGTAATATACGAAAAGTTAATCTTTCCTTTTGATTTAACTGAATCTCCATTACCAGTGAGGTCCTGGAACTGGTTTAGCTAAGTTTCTGGACTTGCAGAAATTGCAAAATAGGTGGAAAAAGCTATTTCTTTGGTAGTATCATCAATTCATCATATATTAATTATCATATGTTTCATAAAAATAAATTGATATACTGTACAGTATATAATATTCAATATGAACCTATATGGCTAAATGATAATTTGATATTCTAGTCTTAGAAAATCTAAATAAAATTTTCAGATTTAAAACAGATGACTCGTATAATAGCGTATAACACCTTCGAAGATATTGTTCAATGAAGAAATTTTCGGTAATTACAATTAACTTTTCAACAGAAGCGACCGTAATATAAAAATTTTTTATTTTGTTATGTTTGCACGTGCTGTATAAAAGATAACTATTTAAATTTAAATAAATAATAGCCCTTTTCATTTCCGGCCGGTCGCATTTTTCGGTCAGATTGAAGTTAATTTTGATTGGGCTGATCAGTTTGTACAACGCAACCATTTTCTGAACTTTTAGCCAAAAAACAACCAACCAAAATTAGATAATTTCTGTTTACGTGACATTTAAGAAAAAATATATATCAATATAAGGAGTTCGAACTAAATTTCAATCTAAAGCAGTTCAATTTGCGATCGAAAATAAAAAAATTTTATTGGATAATTTTTGTACAACAAATTCCGACCGAAAAATGCAACCGACCGGAAATGAACAGGGCTAATATAATAATACACAATCGCACATGAAATTTCTTAAAATGTTACACGACGCGATGACAATTAATATAGACAGATTGATCGGTAACTATGACATCAAAGGCGCAGTGCTGTAGTGCATAAATAATGGGTATTGCAAGTATATAAAATGATCTTATTTTTTTTTTATAAAACTAACTTCAATATACTTCTTTTTAAAAGACATTTACTTCTTTTTAATATTTACGATCACACAAAATTTTACAACAACACAATAAACACAAAAACATCAAAGAAAATATATACTATAAAATTAAAAATTTTACAGATATTATCAAACGTCAATGTACCTAACAATACGCTTAATTATTTATTCAAAGTTTTTTACATGATACTTTATATGATATGTTTGGATGACTGGCATAAACTTAGACACGAACTTCAGTTAAATCCACTATCACAAAGTATAATGTTCTTTGACGAGTTATTATTAGTACTGCGAAACCCATTTGTTATAGACAAGTTTACTGCAAGAAGTCACTCTAAAAACTTGCTTAAAAGCTCACACAGTCGGTCAAGAACGAACACCACCTTTCGCTTTCTTGTGTGGCGCAGCAACAACAGGAACTTACGAAATTATCAAAACCATCTTCATAGGTTATGAGGTAGTGTAAGGTGGGTAATTTCACGTTTATCATCAAGACTATAGTATTGGATGATATAGAGGATGATTGTCCGAAAGTACGTTTCCAGGGATTGATCAGTTTGACAATGTGACTGGAATAGTTTGAAATGGAGTGAACTGGAGATAGCGAAAGCATTTCCGTTGTATGTGTTAGTAGTTGTCAAAGGGGACCAAAAGGATGACTGATTACCTGCTTATTGAATGCACTAGCAAATTTTTGTACTTAGGCATTGCTGGTCAAGCACTCAAGCTAACGTTAGTGGTGCATTAGTTGGCGAAAAAAAGAAGTAATGAGATTTTCAAATTAAGTGGAACAGATATAGCACGTGAATAAAGCAAGAAACTGAGGTCTTAAATTCGCAAGTAAGTGTCTATTATTTTATCTGTTCATGCCTGGTTTGATGTCAATACACAAACATGATAGTATCCGGTGAGGCCTACAGCGTTTAGCGAGGAGGAGAAATAGGATTTACCATTATTTCCAAACGCCTTTTACCATTAATTTCGCCAAACACCCCTATGCTGAGGATATTATCTCTACGTGCTTTAATCCCTAATTGTTGGCTTCTGGTCATTAGATAATAATACTTACTTGCTTAACCAAGTGTATATAGGTAAATATTTCTCTCTTTCAGTTTTATAGGTCAGTCTACTCTTAAATTCAAATGAATATTAAACAATGTAGCGGGTGCATGGCCTAAAATTTAATTTATAACAACGCTTAATAAATATGATGACTCCGAAGCGCCACATAATTATGCAACCGTCACTTATTTTTATCTCATTAACAATTTACCCTATTTTTTTTTTTTTTTTTAAAAAAAAAAAATTAATTTCTGCCGTAAGTTTATAATTTTACAACGGTATGAGAAAAATAGTAGTAGTTATTATAAAATTGGAATTGAAGACAATTGTCAATTAATATACAAGGGTTTAAAGTTAATTTGATTAACTAACCGATTAAGACGGTAAACTAGTTAAGGTATCTCAAAATCTGCTAATCAATTAAAATTATTCAAATCATAATTCTAGTCAAATGATCTAATGCGGCCAAGTGATGTGAAATTTCGGGCACGTGTTCGAATTTTTAAACTTCCCTGTAAGGTAAAAATAAATTGGTAAATTTTAATATTTTTTTTACATAACCAACTAATTAAACGGTTAGGACCTTGATTAATCGATTAATTGGTTAGGTTTTTCAACCTCTAAATCAAAAAGAATGCCGCATTTTTAAATAATATAGAGATATAACTTCAATCTTATAAGGGAGGATGATGATCCATTAAAGATACTTAATTCCAGCCAAAATTATGATTTAATTTTGTATTTCCTAAAATAGATAAATATAGGGGGCCCCTTAACGGTTAATATGTGCATTGAAGATAATATGCGCATTGAAGGTAATTGTGTATCAAATAATTAATTGTTCTTTGTTAGCCCAAAAATGGAAATAAAAAATGAGCTTAAATTTCTCCTTAGATCATTCCATCCTTTCTTGGAAAAAAGAAGTTACTCATTAAATTACTCAAAAAATAAAAAAAAAAATGTTATCAAATACATTGAATAATATTCCGATAGATGATGAAAATTTTTTAAAAAATTTTTTAAAGAATTTTTATCGTCAAATAATAAGAATAGAGAATTATAATAATTTTGAAGATATAATAAAAGATTGGGTAAAAGAATTTTTTGAATATAATAAAAAGGATTCTGAAATAATTTTAAATTTAATAAAACATTATGAAGAATATGATAATAATGATAATGATAATGATAATGAAAATTGGATTTTTTCGAGTATAATAGGATTTTTTTATGAATATGGTATTATTATATTGAATGATAATATTAATGAGGATATTATTGATAAAGATAAATCTTTGAAATTTTATTTATTGTCAATCAAAGAAAAAAATAATGAATTAATTTCTATGTATCAATTATTTAATATTATTATCGCGAAGTATTTATTATCATTTTATTATTATAAAGATATTATTTTAAATAAAAGAGAAAAAATTTTTAGAAATTTAAAAAATAGAAATGTGATGTCCATAATGTCACAAAATCAGTTTGAAAAGTTTGATAGATTAGAAATAAATATAGGCAAAGATGAGATAGTTACTATAGAAAAATATTTTGAATCGTTAGGTAAAGGTTTCAACGAAAATCAAATAGATTATGCTAAAAAGAAAAAATTGGCAGAATTAAATGATTTAGGTTATTGTTATCAATATGGAATAGGAAAAGTTAAAGATGAATTTAAAGCAACAGAATTTTATTTGAAATCTGCGAGAGAAGGAAATTCTGGTGCACAGAATAATTTAGGTTATTGTTATCGATACGGAATTGGAATAAAAAAAGATGAGATAAAAGCATTCGAATGGTATTCAAAAGCTGCTAATGAAGGAGATATATGTGCACAATATAATCTGGGTATTTGTTATCAAGATGGAATAGGAACAAATAAAGATGATAAGAAATCTTTTGAATGGCATTTGAAATCCGCTGAAGGAGGATATTCACGTGCACAATGTAAATTAGGCAATTATTATCAAAATGGAATCGGAACACCTAAGGACGAAAATAAATCATTTGAATGGTATATGAAAGCTGCCAAAGGAGGAAATTCTGATGCAGAAAAAATTGTAGGTGATTTTTATGAAATTGGATTTGGAGTATCCAAAGATGATAATAAAATATTTGAATGGTATATGAAAGCTGCTAAAGGAGGAAATTTAATTGCACAGACTAGCATGGGTTATTACTATCAACAAGTAGAAGATGATTTAGAAAAAGCTACCTATTGGTATAATAAAGCAGCAGAAAATGGGTGTGAAATAGCGCAATATAACTTGGCTGTGAATGAAAAAGATGAAAATAAAGCATTTGAATATTATAAACAATCGGCTGATCAAGATTATTTGGAAGCTCAATTTGAACTGGCATATTGTTATGATTTAGGAATTGGGACTGAAACTAATAAAACAAAGGCATTTGAATATTACAAAAAAGCAGCTGATAAAGGACATAAAATTGCACAATATAATATTGGAATTTTATATAGATATGGTTTAGGTACTGGGAAAGATGAAATCAAGTCTTTTGAATATTATGAAAAGTCTGCGAACCAAGAATTTCTCAGTGCTCAATTTGAACTTGGGTATTGTTATGATTTAGGAATTGGAACTGAAATAAATAAAACGAAAGCTTTTGAACTATATAAAATAGCCGCTGAGAAAGATCATAGCATGGCACAAAATAATCTTGGTGCTTTATATAAAAGTATAGAAAAGGATTCAGAAAAGGCCATTTACTGGTATAACAAATCAGCAGAAAAAGGAAATGAAGTAGCACTATATAATCTAGGTCTTAATTATGGTGAAGAAGGTGCCATAAAAGACGTAGCTAAAGCTTTTGAATATTATAAAGAATCTGCTGAAAAAGGATATTTAAATGCACAATTTCAACTTGGATTATACTATAGTAAAGGAATTGGAACTGAAATTAATGAAACAAAAGCGTTTGAATCATTTAAAATGGCATCTGAAAGAGGACATATAACGGCTCAATGTAATCTTGGAACTTTATATGAAAATGGCATTGGCGTGAAAAAAGATTTTGAAAAAGCTATATATTGGTATCATAAATCGGCAGAAAATGGAAGTGAAATAGCACTATTTAATTTAGGTCAATGTTATAGATTAGGAAGAGGTGTTGAAAAAGATGAAATTAAAGCTTTTGAATATTATGAGAAGTCAGCTGAAAAAGAATATGACAATGCACAAAATGTTCTCGGTTCTTTATATTATTATGGTATAGGAACCAAAAAGGATTTAGAAAAAGCTTTTTATTTTTGTCAAAAAGCAGTGGAGAATGGAAATGAGGTAGCACAATATAACTTAGGTAGTTTGTACGAACTTGGAATAGGTGTTGAACAAGATCTTATGAAAGCATTTGAATTTTATAAAAAATCAGCCGAAAATGGGGATATTGATGCAAAGTTTCAACTTGGATATTGTTATGTAAATGGTATTGGGACTGAAATTAATAAGGAAAGAGGATTCGAGTTATATAATGAAGCAGCTGGTAAAAAGGATCATGACGACTATGATATACTAAATAAAGTTTATAAAGAGATGGATAATGATTTAGATAAAGTTAATTATTGGTATCATAAAACCGTTGAAAGTAATAATGAAGTTGCACTATATAAACTGGGTGAATTTTATGAGTTGGGCCATGGTGTTGGGGAAAATAAGGTTAGAGCATTTGAATTTTATAAAAAATCAGCCAATAAAGGATCTATTGATGCTCAATATAAGCTTGGGTGCTTTTATGAAAAAGGAATTGGAATTGATATTGACAAAGAAAAAGCATTTAATTCATATAAAATAGCTGCAGAAAAAGGAAACGGTAATGCACAAAAAAGTCTTGCATTTTTATATGAGCAAGGCGAAGGAATAGAAAAAAATTTAGATAATGCAATTTATTGGTATAAAATGGCAATAGAGAATGGATGTCAAGAGGCTAAAGAAAATTTAGACATTCTTTTAAATCAATCTATCTAATTAAAAAAATTTTGTCATATTTAGATTACCCTGTATAAATAATTTGAATTATGTAACATTGAAAATGTGGTATTCTTGCGTCCGATCTATTTCGTATTAAATTTCTGACTACGATAACGGATTTTTTTTATCCCTCTTTTTATTATTATTATTTCTTTCGGTTAACTTAACCAAAATTTTTTTCTTATTCTTTTTTTTTATTTTTTATTGGAATTTTTAGGGGATTTTTTTTAATCAAAATTTTTGGAATTTTTTTTTGGTCAAGACTATAATCATATTAGAACTGTCCTATAGCTTTTCGATGTTTAGTAAGATTTTTTTTAGCCAATGATATTGTTTCTGACTAATAAATTCGTGTGAAAAATTTTTTTTTAGTGAGAACCTTTTTTATTTATTGAGATTGTTTTTTTCAATATTAATTTCCCAACTAATAAATTTGCGTGAAATTTTTTTTTTTGATATTAACAAATTTTTTTTTTAGAGAGATTGTTTTTAATTATATAAATATATAACAATATTAATAATTTTGTAATTAAATCTATACATATCGGCTGATTGGAAAAATCAAGCCAATTAATATTTAAGCTCAGTTGATGGGTTCATTATATAACTGATGGGTGTTGTGCCCCAAGTTGACGATTGCCCCAAATCAACGATCGGCCTAAATTATCGGTCCATCTTTATAATGCCTTAAGAATTTTCAAAGCATTACTTTATACATATAGTAATCATCGATGATTATCGTCAATTTGGGGCATATTGAGATTT